CCTAAGTTCTTTTAGCCAGGGTAAAAATGAATTCATTAAACAGAAGTACATGGAAGCATCATATATATATATTTTTAAATTCATTTCAGTTAGCCGTGTGTGTGTGGTTGGGAGAGATAAGCAGGGTATAAGCAATACCAAAAAATACTCAAGTAAAATATACTGGATATTAGAAGGGAGAATGCTATGGAGAAAAATAAAGCTCAAAAGGAGGGAAAATTCATAGTTCTAGTTTCCCATTATTACATGGAGTAAGACCTCATAGTTATCGCTAGAGTTAGTTTTATGGAAAAATGGGCAGAGCTACTTTCTTGTTTAATTTTAATAGTATATTTTATTACTGTTACCACTATTGTTATTTTGGTTAAGTGTTCTAGGCAAAAGCAATAACATATACAAAGACAGTGGGGATGAGAAGGCCAGCAGGGTATGTTTAGGAAGAACATACACAGAGTGCTTCTGGACTGGATTCATAGCAGTATTCAAATTCTGGCTCTGCCACTTCCTTGCTATATGACACTGGAAAGTCTGTTACCTCACTTTCAATGTGGAGATAATAATAGCATCTACCTTATGGGGATATTGAAATTAAATGAGAAAATATTGTGAAAGTGCTTATTAGCACAGTGCCTGACACAATAAAGTTTTGTGTAAGTTTTAGTTAAGATAAAAGTAATAGGTCAGGAAGCCTTAACGTGAGTTGAATTTTTCTGGTGATAACTGCTGTCTTCTGAACAAGATTTGACTTCTTTATTTCACCTTAGCAACAACATGCTCTAGTATTCATGCAGGTAATGGTTTCCTTGTTTGACCCAGGGATATCGTACTCAGACACTATGAAGTGCTCCCACCTAACTTGTCTCAGTACCATGGAGCAGTTAGTGGGAATCTTGATATTATTCTTTTTTTTCTCATTTTAAAATTTCATTTTTAAAAATTTAATTTAAAAAATTCATTTGCTTTTTTTCATTTTAAAATTTTAAAATTTTAATTTCAGTATAATTAACATACAGTGTTATATTAGTTTCAGGTATACAATATAGTGATTCAACAATTCTATACATTACTTAGTGCTTATCATGGTAAGTGTACTCTTAATTCCCTTCACCTATTTCACCCATCCCCCCACCCACCTTCCCTCTGGTAACCAGCAATGTTTCTCTATGCTAAAGAGTTTTCTGGTTTGTCTCTCTTTTTCTTTTTTCATTTGTTTTCTTTCTTAAATTTTACATATGAATGAAATCATATGGCATTTGTATTTCTATCACTGATTTATTTTGCTTAGCATTGTACCCTTTAGATCCATCCATGTTGTTGCAAATGGCAAGATTTCATTCTTTTTAATGGCTGAGTAATATTCCATTACACACACACACACGCACACAGACCACCTCTTCTTTATCCATTCTTTTATCCATTGACATTTGGGCTGCTTCCATAACTGGGCTATTATAAATAATGCTGCAATAAACATAGCGGGGCATATGTCTTTTCAAAATAGTGTTTTCATAGTCTTTGGGTAAATACCCAGTAGTGTGATTACTGGATCATAGGGTAATCCTATTTTTAATTTTTTGAAGAACCTCCACACAGTTTTCCACAGTGGCTGCATGGTTTGTATTCCCACCAGCAGTGCAAGTGGGTTCTTTTTTCCACATCCTCACCAACACTAGTTTCTTGCGTTGTTGATTTCAGCCATTCTGACTGGTGTGAGGTGATATCCCAATTGTGGTTTTGATTTGCATTTCCCTGAGGATGAGTGATGTTGGCACCCTTTCATGTGTCTCTTGGCCATCTGGATGTAGGCGAAGTTACTTTAAATAGAAGCAGCCAGTATTGTTACTTGAAAAAGCTTATAAATCCTAATTCAGTGACACCTACATTTAATGGTTGAAAATCTGTTCTGTTACTATTCATCTCCAATTTCCTATTCTAATGTTCAGCAACCATACTCTTAGAAGCATATGCTTAAAACTCTTGATATTGGATAAGATTAGAGAAAATGGATATTACCTTCACGTTGTAAAGTAATTTGGCTGTGAGAAGAAGTGAGTGTCACTATGACAAAGGCCCTGCTTACTGCTTGGCAGACACTATAATACATGCTTACTTAAACTATTACATTCTTATAACACCTCTGTAAATTGACTGTTAATTCTCTTTCTGAAGATAAAGGAAATAAGGCTTAGAGAGATTAAACAATTTTACCTAGGGAACAGAGCTAGTAAATACCTAAACCAGGATTTGAACCTAAATCTTGATCCAAAGATCCTATCTATAGTCATCACACCTTTCAGCTTCATCCGCTGGTTTGAGCTAAGAAGAGTGAACAAAATAACAAATCCATTGGTTTTAGTCCAAAACGTGTTCCAGAGCTTGTTCATGATTTGGCCCTGCTTAGCTCACCAGCTGTATTTTAGACTCCACACTCCAGTCGCTCTGCACCTAGCCCCACTGGATTCCTTTCTCTTCCTCAATAACCGCATATTGGGGTCTTTGCAGATGTTTCCTTTCCCTCATCCCTCTTTTCCCTATATGCTTACCTCCTTTTTTGTCTTCCAGGTCTTAGCTTAATATCATTTGCCTGGAGTCACCATCCAACCACTTTATGTAAGGGAGGTGCCCCTTTCTCATTTAGATTCTCTCAGCCCCGGTGTGTTTCCTTCATAGCATATCAGTGCTCAGGAGCCAGTGTGTTCATTTGTTACGTCTTCCTCTGCAGACTATAAGCTCTTTGAGAGCAGGAACTTTTGCCCTCTTGGTTATTACTCTATGAAGCAAATTTAGAATAGCGTTTGGAGTATAACACATTTTGAAAAACAATTGAATCAAGAATGGATGAATGACTTTGAGATTTATGTATTTGTTTCTAATTGGAAACAGTGTTTAAAACATGTTGATGGATGTATTTGAAAAGTAATGTCTTTGATAACTTGGAGTGTCCTAAATCTTCTTTAAATCTTGATCAGGATACTTAATACCATAGATACAAACTATTATAACTTCCTGCATTAACAGATTTCTGCCTTGGTTTTGATATGCCTAATGGTCTCATTTAAATAATTAACCTGAAGAAGAATATTATTTAATAAGAATAAAACTCTTTAGCTAACTATCTGCAACGAAGTTATACTGTTAGAGAATAGCAGTTTTAGCTAGATAAAGATGTGGTGCGCTGTCTAGCCTAACTGAAATATTGTAGAAAGTATAAAGGCTAAATGGGTAGATCCAGGTCCAGAAACTCAGGAAAGGGATTTTTCCATAATATCAGGTCAATTCTTACTCTGTAGTTTGCACTCTCCCCATTATAAGACATATACTTATAAGAGCAGTAGATTATAAACAGTACTTAATCAGAACAAATCTGTTTCAGAAAGAATCAGTATTAATCAAAGTTCTCAGTTTATCTCAAATCCATAAGAAACAGGGGCGCCTTGGTGGCTCAGCATCGCATCGGGCTCCTTGCTCAGTGAGAAGCCTGCTTCTCCCTCTCCCCCTCCCCCTGCTTGTGTTCCCTCTCTCGCTGTGTCTCTCTCTGTCAAATAAATAAATAAAATCTTAAAAAAAATCCATAAGAAACAAAACAGTAACTTCCATGGGCACCTGAACGTAGAAATCATTATACACTAGTCCATCTATGGCAGATGCACTATAGACACAGAGGACCACAGGCTAGATGTTCGAATAGAAAGTAAAGGAAGTATCAGGTTCAGGAGGAAATCAATCACCAAAAATTTTATACATTTATTTTGCTCCATAGTTAGCAACTGAAACTATTGCATATGAGCCTCATACTCAGAAATCACTAATTTAAAAAAAATCATATTTAATAACCTATGGACTTCTATAAATCTATGTTACAAAGGTATTCCTTATGTTTCAGAAATGTCTCTTAGAAATACGGTTTGGGGCGCCTGGGTGGCTCAGTCGTTAAGCGTCTGCCTTTGGCTCAGGTCATGATCCCAGGGTCCTGGGATCGAGCCCCACATCGGGCTCCCTGCTCTGCGGGGAGCCTGCTTCTCCCTCTCCCACTCCCCCTGCTTATGTTCCCTCTCTCGCTGTGTCTCTCTCTGTCAAATAAATAAATAAAATCTTTAAAAAATAAAGAAATACGGTTTGATTGACAAAAATTTACACATTTAAAAAAATACACCTTGCTTTCATATCTTCCTAGAAGCCACGTTCTTTTTCTAAGTGACAAAAACCAAAAACCAAAAACTGACAAACAACAACAACAACAAAAAACCCAAAACCCCAAAATGAATTAGACTATGTTTTTATATAAGGAGATAAAGGGAAATGGACATGTTTCATCCATGTAAACAATTAGCCCAATGAATATAGCAGGCATTCTATGTAGTTCAAAAGTAGCATTTTTACTCGTAAGTAATTATCATAAGACCAGTGTAATCAAGACCTGTCTTGTCTACTTTATTCTTATTTTTCTAAGGTCAACAGCAACATTGGCTTACTTATTTTTTTAAAGATTTATTTATTTATTTTGAGAGAGAGAGAGAGCTCATGGTGGCGGGGGGCAGGCAGAGGGAGAGAGAGAATCCTCAAGCAGAGTCCCCACTGAGCACAGAGCCCTATGTGGGGCTTGATACCAGGACCCTGAGATCATGACCTGAGCCAAAAATCAAGAGTCAGCCACTTAACTGACTGAGCCACCCAGGTGCCCTTGGCTTGCTTATTTTTAGGTGGTAGAATATATGGGCCACAGTGTAGATGACTATGAAATTTAGCTTTCTTGTGAATAAGAGGATTTTTATGCTGACTCTATAGAATTCCAATTCTCTGTTTATAGAATGATCCAAGGATATGGAGAAAATATTTATCTCCAAGGACATCTGCATATAGGTTACAGATGCATTGACTCCTAGAACTGAGAGGGACCAGGGATTATCTTGTCAAAAATCTTTCCTAAAAAGATAGATAGGCCGAATTCTGGTGACTATTGTAATGAGGCTTTATTTGTCTTTGTGTGTCTGCATGTACAGGAATACATGGACTCCAATAAATACATTGAGCATCTTCTAACTCAGCTCGAGGAGCAACACAGAAGTCTATGGAGGTGAGTGTAATCCACGCCTATAACCCAGAACAGCCTTGATAGCTTTCATGTTGATCACAGAGGCAGCGAGTTGGCAAAGTGTCTCTTCTTACACTTGGTGTCAAAAGCACCTTTGGAAGCAAAAGTCACCAGAGGCTCCTTAGAGAATTGTATTCCCTTGATCAAAGTGAAGCAGCAGTGTCAGAAGTTGTCCTTGAGTCAAGGACCTGCTCAGAGTTGGGAGGATGGTGGAAATCATGACATTTTGTCAAGGTCAAGAAATTAATTTGTCCAAGGCCACATAACAAACTTATGTTTTGGGAACTAGAATTCAAATTTCTCTGACCCTTGCCTGCTTAAAGATTAAGTTTTTTCTGTGATTGAAAAGTTAACTACAGCTGCTTAAAATGTCTGCTTCTCTTCATATTAAAGGAGAATATTTTAAGAATGCTGTTCTGTAGGCCTCTCATGTTTAGTTTTTCGTTCTATATGCTGGGTTCCAATGCTCGGTGAAGAAAGGTATGGGAGAACATTGGTGCAGGTAAACTGGAAAAGGCATATTCTCAAATTTCTTGTTCCCTGGGCCTCTTGGGAATTGAGGCTGATCCAAAATGATTGCGTTGTTATTTTCTAGATCTTTAGGGTCCATGTGATCATGTTCTGCCTAGGTGCTCCTATGGGATCTGCTATTCCTTTTCCTAAATTACTATAGCTCATGTTATCTGGAATAAATATGCTAAATATGCTAGGGCTTAATTACATTATGGCTCATATTGTACCAGAATTATTTAATGTAATTAGCTTTGTCTCCCAAGGGTCACTAAGCCCCTGAAGTCCTTTATTTCTTACCTCTTGGCAGCATGGAGGAGAATGTTCTCTCTGTACACAGAAATGGTGCGTAAAGATTTGCTAACCCTGTGGCTTTCTTGCCCAACTTCATACAAATGTATCACCATTGGTCTCTGTACCAGGCTATGCTGCCCCTTCTTCAGGCATCTTATAACAAATCCTAATAACCTTGAAATTTGTCTTCTCTGAAGCACTGTAGTTCTTAGTCAAAGTGCCTAATAATTCCATTTGTTCTGTCCTTTATATTAGTTTCCCTGCTAAAGAACAAATCTGTGCTTATAGTAATAGACCCTCTATTTCTCTGCATGGAAAAAGTAGGATACAACAAATGTATATAATTTTTAAATCTGCTTGCTGTTAACAGACATATATGTTAATTTTATATACCTCTATGTGATACTGTTAGATGTGTTTTTGAGACCTATAAATGGTGTCAGTAAAGTTTTCTTTTATTAACCAGTGTATTGTATTAATAAAGCCGGCAACAATGTATTTATAGTTATGTATCTTTCAGATTAGATTTCCCATAGATCTCCTCCAAGTTGCAAAAGGTTATTTAAATGAAATGTAACATTTACTTCCAACTATTTATATAGGATATTTGGTTTTCCCTATCTTTTAAAAGAAAAAAATATACACAAAAAATGATGAATACCATCTGATGAAAGAAATTAGAGTTTAATTTGGTCAGTAAGTGTGTCTTATATACATCATTGGGGAGGAGTCGAGTTTCGCGGGTCTTTGAACCAAAAAACCTGCATGGAAAATGATGTTTTCCTCCTTTGATAAGATAGCTAATAAAAACCTTTTGGTCTTCTTTATTGGATTAAATGAAAATCCAATTTCAGGCATAGACTTAACATAACATAAAGTAAGAGCTCAGAATTTTGTGTGCTATCATTTCTATTTTCCTTCAGAAATAGAATTATTGCTGCTGAAGAAGCAAAGCTTTATACATAGTGGCAGAGGATCTAATAAAAAAGCTTCATTTGAATAACAATAAAGGGCAATAATGACATTTGAATAGTCAGAATACCTACCAGGGAGAAGATGGAAATGGGTAGTACTGAAAAGAAAATGAAAACCAATAATAGCAGATTTATATACTATTTATTGAATCATGAAATTATCCTTGATTATATTTTATAAACAGATCTTGACTGACTTGAAGTGATAGGCTTTCTGATGGTTAGTACAATATCATAACTGCAATTCTAGCCAAATTGTTTTTGGGTGAAGGCTGTGCCAGTGAGCATACAATGAGCAGTGTGGGGAAATTCTTTCCAGTTATGATTAAATTTTTAAAAATACTTTCTTGAGTTAGGGTACAATCTATGATGTGCAGAGGATCATAGGAATAGCATGTCACGTATTCAAGCACAATTGGATTGTCTGAAGTTAAACAAATGTCCCCATAAGTCAGTATAAATGTTTTTTCTGATTTGTATTATGCCTTTGATTTGTAGTTGCTACAGTTTTCATGGAGTGGGCTATTATCATTGCTGCTGATCTTAACTGATGGCCTTCCATTTATATTTCAACCTACATGTAACTTAGACAAATCCTGAATACTTAGATGTTCTAACAATAATTGTATTCAGCATTAATTTATGGCCATGTTGTTTGAGGATTGATCACAAGCATGATAGACACATGGCATACTATGGCTACTTCCTTAATGAGAGGATAGGACCAATTGAAGGTTTGTTACAAGATTGGATACAAAAACATAAGTCTTTCCTTATTTTCATGGAGGCAGCTACTAGTCTTTAATAGGTTGTAGTTGTTTCTTATAGCATAAACATCTGCTGTGACACAAATATATTGTCTTAATTATACTCTCAGAATAACTGGTTATTTTGGTGCCCTGTTTAGTATTCTACTGAAATAGACCTATAATCTTTCTCTGGTTTTCAGATTGCAAAGGAATTTGAAGTTCAAATACAGCTGTCTAGCAATGAGCAGTCATTTAGCTCAAAAAAGACTTTTTGACACCAACAAAAAACTCTCATGTAAATTCATGTGAGTAGGTAGAATCAGAATCTAAAACCTAGAGTAGGACTTGAGCACAAGTCTGGGTGGGCCTACTTTGCTCAGCATCTCCCTGCTTGATGACAAAAAATAAGTATCCCCAGGGACAGCTAGTTTACTAGTAGATGTTGAAATGGGAGGCTAAATTCCTCTATGTTCATTTGTTTTATTTTTGTTTGTTTGTTTTTTATTTTTTAAAGGTTTTATTTATTTATTTGACAGAGAAAGACACAGCGAGAGAAGGAACACAAGCAGAGGGGGTGGGAGAGGGAGAAGCAGGCTTCCCGCTGAGCAGGGAGCCCGATGCGGGGCTCGATCCGAGGACCCTAGGATCATGACCTGAGCTTCCGAAGGCAGATGCTTAACGACTGAGCCACCCAGGCAGCCTTGTTCATTTGTTTTAATGTGGAACACTAAGAATAGGAGAAAAAGGTTCTTTTACACCTAATGCTTTTTATATCATCTGCTACCATTTCTGATTTGGCTAAATATATCTGACTGACAAGAGAGATCATAAGAAAACAACTGCTGAAAAAAATCTTTCTTCTAACATTTGACAGAAATCTTTATCCATTCGTAGCTTCAGATTAAGAGTTTAGAACAAACACAAACAGTTGGAAGATACACGTTGAATTCATGAATATTTTTGGTGTTAATGACTTTCATGTCACATGTGAAATTAAGTGTGAAAAATGGAAGCGGCATAATACTACAGAAATGGAAAGAAGTCTGCGAGTTTTGGAGCCTTGGACTCTTGGCCTGGCCTCCCCAAACTGGCCACGGAGATATCATCTCTGGAATGAGTTTCCTTTTCTGTAAAAAGAAGCTATCAGTAAAGCTAGTATTTAAGATTACTGAACACTGAGATTATTTGAAACCCATGATCGTTAAAATAATACATTTCTATAACATGTGCAAATACATGTTTAATCTTATTTTGCTCTAATTATGCAGCTGGATCATTTTGTAGTATTTAATACATATATCATAGAAAGCTTCCAAGAACATAAGTAGAAACCAGTAAAATAGCAGAAATACCTAATGGCTTGCTAATAACTCAGCCAGACAATATCAGAGTGTTCATTTCAGATTTTCATAGCTCAAATTGGAGACAGTGTTATCGATAGGCTGTACATAAAGAATAAGGTTTACATGGCCAAAATTAAATGACAAGATCTGGTGAATACAAAGTGCCAACTACTAGCCTACAGATCCCAGATCAGAGACCTATTTGAAGAAGCTGTATGTAGGCTAGGGATTCTCAGTCAAGGCACTATTGATATTTGGGGCCAGACCATTCTTTACCTTGAGCGGGGGTTGGGAGTAATGTTTTCCTGTGCATTTATAAGTTGTCTAACATCATTCCTTGTCTCTACCCACCATATACCAGTACCAAACCCCCTGTTGGGACAACCAAAAATGTCTCCAGACATTTTCCACACGTTCTCTAGAGGTCAGAATCCTCTTTCCTCCTTGTTGAGGACCAGTGATCTAAATGATCTATGAGCATTTTCTTAAGCACATTTCAAGGAAAATGTGGGTAGCTGTTACAGATTTTTAAAATGAGTCACTCTGTGGTCAAATTTGAGATATACTAGGTAAACCCAAGTTTTAAAATGTTTGAATTCTAGAACTTCACAAAGCCATTTAAATGGCTAACATGTGCTATGAATATCAAATGGATATAAAATAGAACTTCTTCTTCTTAAAAAAAATCCTATCTTTCTTGCAGCATCTATTCTGACTAAAGTTCCAAGAAACATATTTTGGGAAATAGTGATCTATCTAGTTCAATAACAAAATATACAAAAACATGGTTGTAACTATTTCTTCCCTCTTCCTTTAATTCACTGGTACCTGGATGGGTACTATAATTAAAGATCATTTAATAGTGTGAGGAATCCAGGTTGTTAGTAAAAGGGGAATGTAAATATAGGAAAAGACAATTTCTAGTTCATCACCATTTTCCTGAGGGGCAGCCCAAGCCTCAATACCAAATTCCAAGAATCTAAACAACTATTGATTAAAGCTATATTGGCCCTAGTAAAGCTTTTAACTTCTGCTTCCTCAAGGGGAAAAGTGATGGTTTCCTACATCATCAAGGGGAGTAAGGGTCATGTATAGGTCCCTGGCTGATATAA